GTTTTTTTTTGCTAGCTGCATATACAAAGTTAATCGATATTATATATTTACCCCAATGTAATATCTACTATATATCATAAAATTTATTATTGTTATAATTAATTCATATTTATAAATATATATACCATACAAATCCGTTTTTACACTCATGCACAGTACATTCATCTGAATACAAACCCTATATTTAACAATCTACCTACCGTATTTCCTCGACATGTGTACCCGGGGTATTTCCCTAGTCCATGGGGTACACGAGTACTTCGATGTTTTTGGTATGTTTTACTAGTACATAAGTATGATACTCCCATACTTATATACCCGGGTATAAATCAAAATTTGGCACTCTGAATTGCTGCAGGGTACAGCCCACGGGGGATATATATGTCGGGGAAATACGGTAGCTCTTAAAGTTATACAATTTCTCTATTACAAGTAATCTAAACGTATTATATAAGATAGAGTTCTTCGCATGAGAATATCTAAAAACAATTTTATATTGCGGTAGATTAACTGGTACATACATGACTACACATTCATTTGGAGGTTTAATATATAATACGTTCGTAGTCACCTCTTCTGAAAGTTATGCAATTCGAGAGATCAGTGAGATGGATTTTCACGAACACTTTCTTTGCAAATCTAGAATGGCCTTATAATAGGCCCGTTGGGGCCTAACCGGGGCTGTTCACAAAGCCCGGGCCCGACCCAAATATTAACGGCCCAAATATTAACGGCCCGAATTAGGCCCGGCCCAAATTAGGCCCGTCCCGCAAATTCCCGGTTTAGCCCGGCCCGTTCCCCACCCTTGTCCCCCAAAATAATAAAAATAGTAAACAGTAACGATCCCTTAAATCTTAATAATATGAATGGTCAAATGATCAGCACGTCCTATAGAGTACCCTCAAAATAAAAAAGTTACTTATGTCTAACTGATTACCCACCCTTTACCTGATTATCGGGAAAAAAGGAAAAAGTGCCGGCACCATAATAAAAACATTTTATATCGTTATATAGTCGGCCAATACCCTTTAATTTTTGGGGTTGTGTAAAAATCCGCACATATGTTTATAATCGGTTATTGTACCAAGAAGATACTATGATCGGAAGATGTACTATTCTAAGGGGTACTAATATTGAATACTATTGCTAGTATTTAAAATAGTTGCCGATTTATATATAATCAAGCGGTTTTTTTTTTCAGATACTTGCGTCATATTCTGTACATTATATCTGGACCTTTTATGCCAAGTCTTACTAAAAAATGATTTATCGTTATGCTAAAGAGGAGGGTTTATTCCATCTTAATGCTAACAAAACTTCGTAGTTTTGCTCGTGATTTACGTCTACACATTTTAACTTTCTACATAGAATACTAGCCTGCGAAATAATTGGCTATGTACATGCCATTCCTAAGCATAAGTGATCCAACTTTATAATCAATTAATAATTTTATCTGGTATTAAAAATCACCCATACTGCAAAAGATCCCAATGTTTTATATCTTTGTATATTATGTCCCATTATGTAAGAACCCACATCTTTATTCCAAGTTGTTCATCATTACTCAATGGGTTTTTATTGTCCGAAGCGTAGCGAGGATCCATGAAACCACACCAATGAAAATTGAGAATTGAAAGGTTCCGTGATGATCAATGCTTATTGACATTAATAAGTTATATTATTTATATAAAAATTTTTAAGTATATTTAATTCTTTTAAACAACTTTTGTTTATTTAATAAATTTTAATGTATACGGTATATATGCATATACATATCAACTATTTGTAATTATTAAAATTTTTCTATTATAAAAAATAATAATCTATTTCTTTATAACTATACACATAGTTTTTGATACATACTAGATGTAACCCGTCGCTTTGCTGGCGGTTTAGATTTATAAATATAATTGCAGTCGATTCTGGATATAACGAACCTTTCTATAACGAACTCTGGATATAACAAACTCAAAAATTTTGAAATTTCATAATAGTTCGGTATAAAAGTGGCATGGGTTTTTTAAGAAAACATAGTAATTTCCTTATAACGAACTTTGTTTTCTTCCAGAATCTTCAGTTCGTTATATAAAGAGCTGACTGTATTATTGTGATATCCCGTACATCTGTTTTTTTAAAACTTTAATATTTCAAAACCACCTAATAAAATTCAAGCTTTTTTATTTTAATTCTGCATATTTATAGAATTAAAATACAAATATTTCATCGAATTTCATTAGTGATTGCTGAAATATTTTCGCTTCACGTTTTAGAAATAAACCAACAACATATACTTGTTACACGATTTATTTATGCATGGTACTCTAAACGTGACAGTGCATAAATAGTGTAACCATTAGTGTTTTTAAATATATAGATAGATAGAAGAAGAATATATTATTATCGTTATACTTTTATGCAATTATTAGATAAATACAGATTTAACGATCGCTATATATTAATACGTATAATAAACTTAACATATAGACTCAAGCTCAAACCAACCCAATCCAATCTATTAATAATTTTACTGTGAAAATAATTCTTGAAATAAGCTTTTTTAAAATGTTTTATATTATCAATTAATTTATTATAATAGTTCTTGCATAAAGCTTTGCTAACTAAATCTAATAAATAATTACCTAGCTCTAATATTTCAGTAACTTGGAAAAACCAACATTGTCAAATGTTCTTGTTTAGGAGTGTGTCTAAAGCAAAGTAATTAAAATAAATTTTAGAAATTCTTATATGAAAAAAAATGTTAATGCTTTTTTTTATTTAAAAGTTTGTATAAAATGAATGATGGCTTTACTTGAAACAACTTCCTATAGATAACTCCTGGATTATTTGACTTTTTACCGAATTATTTGACTATATGTAGTGCGACTATGGTTGTTAAAAAGTTAAATTGAGTCGTCTTTGGGGTTGACTCAACTTAGACATCTTGATTCTAACTCATAACTACTTACGAGCAGAGTACATGAATAATACTTTTAATATGTAACACGGTTACATGTTATTTGTTTCCCAATGATTGTTCTAATACTGCTAGAACTAGTTAAGAACTAGTTAAGAACTAGCCCGATCTCATTTACCCCTTGATTTCAGATCGGATCTATATTGAACTTTTTAAGGACCAGACTGGGAACTTTTAACATCCCTAATCATTATGTATGAGCAAACCTTCGGGCCAACTTCTGACTTACTGACTTAACGTTAATTTTTGGAACCGAGTCGGGCCGGATGGGACTTTTAACATTCCTAGTAGAGAGAAAGGAGAATTTATAAACATGTATTCCGTTTTCTGTACAATTGTTTAAAATCAGGTAACAATAATCGGCCAATCGGATTTCATGACCGCTATGTTGGCCACAAAAATTTCATTTGCTTACTCTACGAAATATATATACACACATACATATTATACGTATACACATACATATGTATATATATATTATATACTGTATATGAGTGTCGCTACGTAAAAGAAAACCCGAAAATTTAAATATGACATATATTTAAATTTTCGGGTTTTCTTTTAGCGACACTTATACACATATATATATATACACACACATATATGGGCTAGATGCTGAGAAAAAGGCCCAAATTGACAATTTTTTCAAAAACCTTTTTTTAAGCTTAATCAAACCAAAATTAACTCAGGAACATTTTTTACTCAAGAACAAATATTATCATCTTAATAAAATTTTGCAGTATAACCCTTTAAAGTTTGTTTTTTTCTTATAATTTATTATAGAATTTATAATATAAAAATCAAATTTCCGCAAAATATTTTTTTTGGTTAATTTGGGCCCTTTTCTCAGCACCTAGCCCATATATACTAAAAAATTTTACATTGAGCTTTTTTTTTAACTTGGAGATCGAAATATGGAAAAGATGGGATTTTAGGACACGTATAACGATAAGTTTGAAGATCCTACTAAAATTTAATTTGTTCACATTAAATTAATTGTGAATGCCACATGAACAGTCATCAAGATGATCATATGATGTGGTGGCTTGGTAAAAATCTATATAAGACCCCTGGATTTTATAGATCTGCATTATGTATTTAACTCTCACATCTGTTCGTCGCGTATCATTATTTCTCGTCGCGTTACTGTTGGGATAATAAACTTCGTGAGTAACGATGAAATTCCGTTAAGAAAATTCGGAATTACCAATATTTTTGAAAAAAAACCGTATTTGTCAACCTTTATTTTAAAGCATATTTATTCCGATCGTCGAATTGAACTTTTTTTTACAGAATTTTACGAAACAGTATCTTGCTTATAATTATTAAAAAACTTGAATATCTATTATTGCTCAACAAGCTTGCTTTCTTTCTTTTTTCTTTTTTTTTTGTCTATTGTTTACAATATGAGCTATTATCCGTATGACCTTATTTATCCAGAATTAAGAGAAGAAAATTCACGAACGATAAGTATGTGGAATTGTAACTGTAATTAACCAACATATGTTTAAGACAAACGTGCTTTATGGCATACTAAATTTCTAATGAATGTTAAGCAAATACTCGGACACAGAAAAAACAAGAATTAGAATCGGATGAAGAGAGTTTTACAGATGAGGCGTCTGTACCAAGCGATGAATTTGATTCGTCTTATGACAGTGATGAAACTGAAGAGGAATTGTTTGAACTTTGTTTTTACAATGAGAATAATGAACTAATATATGGTGATGTAAGAATTGCAGTTGAGGAAGCCGACATTGAGGACATTGATCCATCTAGAAAATTTCCGGAGGGGTCATCTCTTGATTA